TTTTTTTGCGTTCGTAATTAAATCTTTCCAAATGCTAGAAAGCAGCCAGACCACTAACAATATTTGTATCATGTTCTGGGGCTCAGTTGGTTCAACCTGACTTGAAATGGAGACCATTTGTTCTAAATTGATTTCAATGCCAAGCCAATAGGTCAGCGTTTAATGACGAAGATGCCATTCCAGCCCAGCCTCTGGTGGAGAAGCCAAAATTAATTAGCTCAAGTCCCACAGTATAGAAAACAGATGCCTCTCTCCTGTTGCACAAATACATTCTTTGAGTATAGATTGTGTTCTGTTTCACTCAAAGAGTAACAAGTTGGAAGTTAAAATTGTACGTTTTTCACAATGGAGCCAGCCTTTGGTAGTGATGACAGAAGCATGAATTTACCTAACAAATTCCAGCAAGTGCATGGAAAAATGAATTATCCTCTATATCTCTTATTTTGGGCCCAGGCCAGGCCTAGGAGATTTAGTTTTAAATCTGGGCTGATCCAAATGCTGATCCATTTCAGAGAGACCTGGGACTTAGCTCCAGAAAACACCAAGGTTATTTCTAATCTACGCAATCCCCGGGGACCCCTCCCAGAGGTTTACATCCGCACACATGGCTGGATTCCGTTCCCGGGCCAGCTTGCAAATGGCTTAAGGTTAGATTGCTCTCCAGAGGGAGGTCGTCAGGTGCGCTGTTTATCTGCCTGCTCATCCCTGCATTCGTTCAGAATTAGACTGTGGCAGGCTACAGGAGGACTAGTAACTGCCCGGTTCTGATCTCTTTTCAGAATTAATGGCTGTGTCATAAAGACGTTACCAGCTAGTCACATAACTCTAAATACAGCGAACAGAAGTTGATCATCTGATCACGTCTGGAGTCTTTCTCTCTTCTAAACGAATGTGAAATAATCCACGTTTCCTTTCCTTTCTGGTAGACTGAAAATGATGAGAATGGCCAAGCAGAAAACTTTTCCCTGGACCCCCAACTGGAGAGGCAGGTGGAGACCATTCGCAACCTGGTAGACTCCTACATGTCGATCATCAACAAATGTATCCGAGACCTAATTCCAAAGACGATAATGCACCTGATGATCAATAACGTAAGTGATTGTGACCCCTCTCACTTGAACCTCGAACCCGCCCTGCTGTGGACATTGCTCACATTCCCTTCATTCTCCTTATGATATTTTCTGGATGGTTGAAGCACCTCCTACCAGTTCATCATTTTCCATGGCAAGTGGTAAGTGGCTGGCCAGTGAGAGAGAACGAGGAAAGAAAACGTACAACTTCTCGCCACAGTGCTGTGGTGGTCCCTACTGGCTGTCTTCTCTAGAATGGTGTGAATTTGCTCACAAGATAGCAGATCATCGCTGTGGTCGGAATATAAATTAGTTGCAAAGCCAGCAATGAAATCAGATGCCCTGGCTCCTAGACATTGAGATTAGAAGCAAAAAATATATTTTTTACACACACACGCACACAATATGTTAATATGAGCATTTTCACCTGCTAAAAAGTACCTAAGCCTGGTACTTTTTTTATGACTGGTATTTTACATATGGAGGAAACAGATGCAAAGCTCAATGATTTGTCTTAGGCTGGCGGAGCCTAAAGCAGAACCAGGTTTAGGATCCAGATTTCTCCTGCTAAGGAATGCTATTTTCACCTGGGGTACAAAGCCAGTCACCTCTCCTTTTCTAAGGTAAGGCTGATACAGCCACAGGTCCCAAAGTGTCCCGCTAGGCCAGCCATCAGATGACCTGTATTGTGTAGAATCTCTCCATTTTCATGGTTATCTTTATAGTAGTCACGATACGGTGGTCCGGGTTGGTTCTTTTGGCAGCTACTTTGTTCAAGTACAAATAAAATCCCGAGTTATTTGGGGAATTATCTTTCAGATGAGATTGGCTATAATGGGGTGTTTTATAGCAGGTTTTTCTGACTCCTGAAAAGTCTGACACCAACTATTTTATTCCTACTTATCCTCTAAGGACACCTTTTTGTTTAAACCAATGAATCGATTATGAGCATTTGCTTGTAACAAGTTAAAGCTAGATGGCGAAGTATTGAAAAGTGCCCCACCCTAAAATTCAGGAGGAACCTGGATCCTAAATCCAGTTCTTCTGTAGGCTCCGATGGCCTAAGACACATCACTGAACTTCTTTGCATCTGTTTCCTCCATAGGTAAGATAACTAGTCATAAAAAAGTCCCTGGCTTAGGGACTTACTCCAGAAGATAGTATATATGAAGCACTAAGAAGAATGTAATTGTAAGACACTAATATGGCTGCCTATTGAAGACCTATAATAAGCTTTGTCCATATTTCAAGATTCCTTTCAAAATCATTTTTCTAAATATGACATTTCGTTTGTTCATGATCTATATGCACCCCTCCACTGTCAGAAGTCCCAAGCATGCATGTGAACACTCTTGTTTTTAACTCTATCTTCATACACATTTTGTGTGTTCATACAAGGTTAGGGGGATGCTTTGAAGTATCAGGAGGCCAGGTAAGCAATATATGGAAAATTTGGAAACCCTGAATTGTGTTCTTAAGCTTGGTCAATGGCCCACGGTGTGACCGGACGCAAATCGTTTTCCCCGTCTGAGTTGAAGTCATTTCTGAACCCACAGTCAGTAAGAACACGGGGCTGCCTCGCAGAATTGTCAGCGAGCATAATGAATGTAACCATATGCCATTTTGAAAAATATAAAGCACTAAACAAATAGTCTGTGTATTTTTAAAATTGCCCTCTTAACTTTGCTTGAACGAGCTCAGGCTGTTCTGCCATGGTCTACCCAGGCCCTTGCTTATTTAAACATTTCCCTGATTGAGTATCATTTATCTTTCCACTGTTTTGCCGAGAGTCATTAGGGCCGCCATCGGTTCAAACGCCGCTTTGCTCTGCGCTGCATTAAATCATCGGCACAGGAAGTAGCGCTTCCTGTCTGGAGCTGCGAGGAGTCGCTGGACACAAATTAGTTAAAAGGAGGAAAAAGACCCCATTGCAAATCCATGCCGCTTCCACCTTCTGGAGAAAAACACACACGCACGTACACAAAGCCGCGCGGGCGATGGCCCTGCCCGGCTCCTCGGGGTGAGCGCCGCTTCCTACGGGGCTACACCCCGCCCGCCTCCGGGCAGTGGCCGGAGCTCTGCCGGCCCTGAGGGGGACCTCGCAGGGCCGTGGGGAAGTGCGCTCCGGCCAGGACTTCACCTAGACTCCCAGAGCCACCCTTGAGGCGGAGGCTGGCTAAGAGGAATGTGAAAAGAGCTGATTCCTAGGAAACTACGGTTCTCTTTGTTTGAAATTCAGCTTTCCGTACCTATCCGAAAACAGTTTTCCCTACCTAGGATGCCTGCTTTTCTTTGAGTATTATTTTTATCCACTTTCTTACTATACATGTAAAAATATGTAGTTTTATATCTATCTATCTATATATATTTAATTATATTTTGTATATGTAAAAATACAAACCCCCCTTTTTTAAATGGACTCACACCCTCACAGCATCATATCGTGCCGATGTCTCAGCCCCCTGTGTTCGTTCCAGAAGCCCCCCCGTCCAGTACAAGGAACAGAGATGTGGTGACTGCCCAGCCCTGTGTCGTGCACGTGTTGATTTTTTATTTGATTTTAAGTGAAGAGAACTTCAAGCGAGAGAATTAACCAAAGAATCACAAGTAGGAAAGAGAAACTTCGACTCCTCTTTCTCAGTTCCCTCCACTCAGCCCTGCGGCTTCTCTGAATGGCTTTGGGTGGAAAAGCTAGTTGTCCTTCAAAACCAACAGTGGCCTCAAATGGGTCCTGTCTTTGTGAACTGTCCCTGTCCAACGCCGTGCTTCGGCCTGTCGCCTCTGGAATGGGCACGGCCACTCTGCCTCCTGAAAAGGAATGTGTTTCAGCCAAGATTCCTAAGGCTCAGAGTTTGGTGGGCAGTTTCCTTTGAAAGTTTACATTAAGTGCTCTGCCACTCAAGTCTCCATATGGAATTGTTTAAGGAGTTTAAAGCCAGCAATAAATGCCTCGCCTCAGACATACTGTAAGCCTTTGTCTATTGAAATGTAGCAGCTGTTTCATTGCTTAAACATACCAGGTAACAGCAACACAAAGAAATAGCAAGTTTATGACAGGCGCTTGCCCTGGCCGGGCTGCAGGCAAAAGCGGAGTTTGGTGCAGGAATTGAAAGTTAGGGCACACGTGACAACGCCCCATGGCGAGCGCATTCCGGCAGCCTTTTCTCTGCAGCTCCCCCACCAGGAGTTTTCTACCAGAGAATCAAGAAAGGGGACCCAGCTTTGCTTTACAAATGCGTGTGGCAAAGTGGCATATGATGCTGTGACTGAACCCACAAGACAGCCACGCGTTGGGTACTCACAGTTTTGCCCAGATTCGAAATGATGACTTTGATGGGGTTGCTCGAGATCACACAGCTGGGGTTGGCTGGATCGAGATGAAAACCCAGGTCTTCTCATTCAGCCGGATCTCCCCTCCATTTCAACAACAGAAAATGCATATGGCGAGGTTAGGAAAACCATAAGTCAACCTCCCCTTCAAAGTAAGGGGCTCCTATCCGCATGGCTTATACATGGGGTCTCTTCCCAGAGGTCCATATGACACGAAGATTTAATTAGGGTTTGTTGAAATATGAGAAACAGTGTTTTAAATCTAAATAATTTAAAACATTGTTCCTCGTATTTCACCCAGCCCAGATAATGCGAAATAGAATGTGAAGGTTTTATGAAACTTTTGAAGAGCCAAATGCGGAACCTAGAGGCCTCTCCCCCGTGGACCGTGTGCTTCGGCCTGGGCTCCTGGACCCCTGGAGACCACAGCCCCTCTCCTGGGCCACTGGCACTTCGGTGGAAAATTAGTAACATGTGCCCTCATTTCAAAACTGATGGTCATTTTAATGTCCATGGAGTAGAGTGTTTTAAATGTTCGTTACGCAAGAGGAAAGTGCATCTTAAGGAAAGTGCATCTTAAGTACCAGAGCACTGGTTTGTTTCCACGGGTCAAGAATTCAGCATCCTTCTGCAGAAAGAGATCAGGGCCAGGACCTGGAAGCCCCCAGCCCTGCTCCCCGATCCCCATCACTGCTCACCACGGGTGATGCTCCTGGCTTCTCTCACCACAGGACGGAATCTCACAGCCTTTTTGCATCTAACTTTTTTACAGTGTTGTGTTTGTGATTTTTAAAGAAGGAAACCTCTGTTGGTGTCTAGCCAAACTAAATCCCTGGGAGACAGAGAAATGAGAGAATTGTGAGATCGCGAAGATTCACAAAACTCTCACCAAGCTCCTCTCCAGAGTGAAGCATCTTTGAACTTCTCGGTTACGTTTTCATGTGCGTCTTTGTGGGAACGAGAGCCCTCGCCGTGTTCCTCGCTGCGGGCCCCCCGACTGGAAACAGATTTTTAAGGAAATGGTCTCCTTAGTAACTGAATTGGATGAAAACTCTAGAAATGCCCCTTCTGTTTGTGAGGGCTTTAAAATGGTCTCGGTGCTGAAGACAAAGAAGGGTTAAGATCCAAAACTACCGCAGGTCGCTAGAGAAGCGTTAAAGCGCGAGAGAGGAACCATATGGAGCATGGTTAATGGCCTCACATTCCTTCGCGCTGCGCCGGGCGGACGTGTTGCAGTTATGCCTGTTTTTCTAGCCCGTAGAGTCTGAACTGGAATGAGGTTTTGTGTGTGAGAATTCTTTTGTGAGCCATACAAAGATGTATAGGTTCTAAGGTGTTATAATTAAAAGCATAAATCTTATTTCACTTCTCACATCCAAGCAGAATCCGTCTATGTCACGTTCCGCGAGGGTATTTTCTACATGCTGTTCCCCTGAAAGGGACCTTGGCCTCAAATTGTCCTGCAGAGCCCTTGATTTCAGTGTTTGTCCCACCGACATTCAGACTGCTCAGAAAGTCCCTGAAGCGTCTGGAAACTCCCCGAAGTCCCCCCTCCCTCCCCGACTAGCAGGAGAGAGAGAAGAGTCTTTCTAAAATTTTGCTTAAGTGCAAAATAAAATGTCAACCCGTGCTCTTCACTGAACTCTGCCTCTGGGTGCCTGCACCACAGCAGCAGCTTTCTAGCTGCTCTCCCGCCTCTGCCTGCAGTGCCCGCTGAGCCCGTACGCCGCAGAGTGAGTGCCCTAGAGTGAGTAGCTTTTGTATGCAGAACACTGGCTAAGTGCTGGGCATCCTGCTGGGTGATTTGTATTCATTTTTCCCTTAATCCTCGCACAACTCTGAGGCAGCTACCACCACAGTCCTCATTTTACAGAAAGGGAACCTGAGTCCCAGAGAGGTTAAGTTACTTGCCCCAAAACAGTGAGCGTTAGAGCTCAGGCTCAGATTCAGAGCCGTCTGATCCCAAAGCACACCGTCTTCGACCACAGCGCTGTGCTGCAGTTTCCTCTCACGCTCGTAACACCCAGATTATTCCAGAGCGTTGCCCAGTCTTTGGGGGAGTCGGCAAGTGTCCGTGTGTAACATTTCGACGTGGAAGACCTGACGCAAGGCAGACCTTTGATCAGCGTGCTGAGACGGGCCCCGGCTATTTTATTTCGTGGTTTGTTTGACAGTTGCTTCCTCATTCAGATCTGCTTTAAATCTGTTTCTTGGAAGGATCGTCTTTTAAATTGTGTTTAATAGATTCTAAGTGATACCCCAGGAAGATGTAAAGCTTCCAACGGGCTGAACCCAACCGACGGCCAATGCCAGGAAAATCGTCTGGTTTTGAACTTGGAGCTGCCCCATCCCTCCAAGCGTGCACACACCCAGCGGCGGACGATGCGTGCGGATGTCCGTGACTCCCTGGGTGCAAGTGAAAAAAATCTTTCAGCCCAGTTGACTGGCCTTCCTCTGAATCTGACTTTCCCCTCTGGGCGTCTGATTTTCCCTTCTCGCACTCACCCAGACCTCAGTGCTCGGGTCGGCTCTTTTCCTTCCCCCCTTGTCCTTTCCGTCTAGACTCGTGCAGTTGGTTTGGCCTCTGTACTGTCGTGTTTACCTGCCTGTCTTTCTCAGTCCCTGCAGCCCTGCTGAATTCATCCCTCGCCATCTCACAAATGATGGACATTTATCTCCATTTGCAAACCCTTCTCCCGTCACAGCCAGGTTAATTTTCCTAAAACTCTCTTTCATTGTTTCACTGACTTGCTGAAGAGCCTTCCACAGCTCCCCATTGCCAAGTGGATCAAGTTCAAACACTTTCCCTTGGCACCGGAGGCCTTCGCATCTGGCCCCAGGTTACCTGGCCAAACTTACCCCCCCGGCCGGCTATCACACGTAAACCCCCTGCTCTCCCGGACTGGTGTCAGAACACATCTCGTACATGAGATTACTTCCACATTCGAACCACTTCTGGTTGACAAAATATGTGCAGAGGACATTTCTTTATTTCCCAGGGAAGCTGTGATCTAGCGGAATTTTCCGATTAGTGGAATTATTTGCGTGGTTAGATGCTATAACGACACCCCAGGAATTCTGAGCACCTGCCCGGTATTCTGCCGTCTGCCTGAATTTGTAACAGTTAAATATACTGGCCTCTGGCCTTTCCTTGGGAGATTCAGTTACTCCAGATAAGTGTTAGTGTTCTCATTTAACAGAGAAACCAAAAAATCCAAGTCGGTTTATTTTTCCGGGCTTATGATAATTCGCAAACTTGCTACACCACTCTAAAGTGATGCTTGAACATAAACGATCTTCTCCTAGCACAGTCACAGTGGGGTGAGGGGGCCATGGAAAGAGCACTAGACTTCAAGTCAGCAAATCTGGGGTTCAACTTAATATGTGGCTTTGGGCAAGTCACTTACAGTTCTCCAAACTTCAGTTTCTTCATCTCCAAATTTGGGATAACAATACATTTCCAAAGTTTGTGGTGAGAATCAAGTCAGGTGACTTATGAAGGCACCTGGGACACACTGTATGTCATCGACTCTCACCTTCATTTTTTCACGGTTAATATTTCTGATGTGTAGACCTATGCGACACTCAGTGGCATCTTGACACTCTGTCACAGTTTTGTTTTTGTTTTTTTGCATGCTTTTATTGGTTTCAGAGGGAGGAAGGGAGAGGGAGAGAGAGAGAGGAACATCAATGATGAGAGAGTCATTGATCGGCCGCCTCCTGCTCGGCCCCTGCTGAGGATCGAGCCCGCAACGCCGGGCTTGTGCCCTGACCGGGAATGAAGCCATGACCTCCTGGTTCATAGGTTGATGGTCAACCCCTGAGCCATGCCAGCCGGGCTGTCATAGTTTTAGTTGGTGGTGTTCTTCTCTTTCTCAGTGACACATAAAATAGTGGCGCATCTTCAAATGAATGGCACCTCAGATTTGATGAGCTGCGGCTGGTTCTTTCTCCCTCAGTGCTGTGCCTCGCACGGAGTGTCCATACTTTAGCCTGGTTCCATCTGTCTGTTAACCTCGTATCCGGAACCTTGTATCACTCCTCATCACCGTTAAGTAGCTTCCACTGTAAACTTCTAGAAAGCCGAGAGTGTATCACTTTCTTTGTACGATAACTTTCATAAGTATGGAAGGTTCTGTATTTAACAAGTATTGACTTCTTGATGGTAATTCCACTTTTGATAGCCCGTTGAAACCTAGGGTCTTCACAGTATTGCAGCGATTTTGGTAAAAGCTGGGTCAGGGGCTGGGAATACCAAGGAATGGTAGCCCGTGTTACGACATCTGTTCTTTACGTCACTGTCTCCTGTTGAAGATGCTGCTGCTTCCCTGGGCCACCCTCCCTCTTCTGTCAGCCAAGCAGCCTCAGGCCACTGTGGGGATGCTGGCGCAGCCCCAGGCCCTCTCTGGGGGCCGCAGGGTTTGGCCCTCTTTTCAATGAATCCGTGTGATGTTTTCCGTCCCTGTCAACAGCCACTGGGTGGGGGGAGTCTGAGGCCTGGGAGGATGGTGAAGAAACCGAGTGAACAGATGCATGGTGCAGCCCTCTTCCCAGGGTGGACACCCGTGGACTCTGTCCGCAGGCTCTGGCCAGTTCCTACCATCCGATTGCTCACTCCTTCCCATCTATCTTCTCTGGTGACCCAACAGGTGAAAGACTTCATAAACTCAGAGCTCCTAGCACAGCTGTATTCTTCAGAGGACCAGAACACCCTGATGGAGGAGTCGGCTGAGCAGGCTCAGCGCCGGGACGAGATGCTTCGCATGTACCAGGCCCTTAAAGAAGCCCTCGTGATCATCGGCGACATCAACACGGCCACGACGTTCACCCCCGCCCCGCCGCCCGTGGACGACTCCTGGATCCAGCACACCCGCAGGTAGGAAGGTGGCCCACGCCCCCTGAGGCCTGCCAGGCTGGGGCAGTGCCATTTGCTGGGAGTGCTCCCCTCAACCCCTTTAGAAAAAAAGAGGAACAAATATATTTAAGTTCAGGAGTGAGAAAGAAGGTCAGGTCATCCCAACACCCATCAGAAACCAGCACAATACGTCTGTATGGTGGAATATTACACAGCTGTTAAAAAACAATAAGGCAGTTCTGGAGGTACCTCAGTGAAAAGGTAGTCAAGTTCAGGTGAAGCTTTAAAAAAAGTAAGTTGTAGAACATTTATGTACAAAAAAGAGGAATTTATAAAGAGAGAGAAACTACTGTAGAATATAGTTAAAAAGAAACGACTATTGGCTGTCTCTGTAGAGTGACACCATTTAGCTTCTTACTATACCTGTTAACATTCCTAACATGTATCTGAGTTTCCCAGTCAAAAAATAATTTTTTAAAAGCCATCAGGAAGTTATAAAATATGTTTTTAAGATGAATTCAGACAGAAAGTAGGAGTGGTAAATTATTAATCTCTTTCCTCAGGTCGCCCCCTCCGAGCCCCACCACCCAAAGGAGGCCGACACTGAGCGCCCCCCTAGCTCGGCCTGCATCCGGCCGGGGACCCCCTCCCGCCATCCCCTCTCCGGGGCCCCACTCAGGGGCACCCCCAGTTCCATTCCGGCCCGGCCCATTGCCTCCCTTCCCTAACAGCAACGACGCATTTGGAGCCCCTCCGCAAGTCCCCTCTCGGCCCACCAGGGCACCTCCCAGTGTCCCCAGGTAAGTGTGCTGTGTGGAAGACAGTGTGCTCTTCGGTTCTCTTCTCGTAGCACAACAGACAAAAGTTACTTGAGAAAGAAAATTGCAGAAATCATACATATTTGCAGTTTTCACCTGGGAGGGGAACCCTGGGGAATTGCTGAGCATTACACCATTTAAAAACCAAAATGTGGTCTAAACCTCTCCTTTATCAACTGGCACAAACCAAAGAGGACTCAAGAAAACTGGGTCCAAATGATTGACATTTTGGCAGCTGTTTCTAGAATTTGATGGAAAGCTTTGAAATGGAAGAACTGGCTGGGCTGAGGCGAGCTGTGTGCTCCAAGGTCGTGAGCCTATCACCAGCTAAGGCCTTGCCTTCTCTGTTACCAAAGGAATTCTCAAAAACTACTGACTTCAAGGAATATTATCCATCTGCCCTCTGAACTATGACCCTTAAGATCAATATTATTAACATTAATGTAAGCAGCATAAAAATCTGCTGATTAGTCTGCAATTGTTTTAAATTGTGAGTAGAAATTCCTGGACCATGTAAGAGACAGAACACTGTACATTTGAATGATATATTCTGGCATTTATAAGCAGATTTTCAGCCTCAATTGTGAAACAAAATAGCTGGTAAATAAGTGGAACTTGAAACATATATGTAGTTACAGCTAGATTCTCACCTTCCTACAGTTACAATCAAAATAGGTGCAATGTGTATAATTAGATATTTTGAAAATAGGAATTAGGTTTTTAAAAATAATAACAGAAATTTCAAAAGGAAAGAAAATTAGCCTGTATAGAAAGTTCATTTTAAAAAATTCAATTCAGAAGATTAAAATATTTGTATGTTCCACGAAGGAAGGCCTTCCTGGGCATTTAACAGAAGTGACCTCCAGCCACCCAGGAAACCAGGGTCCCCTCCTGCTCTGATTACTGTGCTTACAGTCATTTGGATCTTCAGAGGGCAGGGTGCAGTGAAGACGAAGGCCTCTGAGGCTGGTAGGCGGAGGCTCCTGGGGCAGGGAGAGCGGGACGTGGAGTCGCACCTGCCCCGCCACAGGCCGTGGCAGCTCACTGGACTCTGAGCCAGCAGGTCGTCATCTATGAAGCTGGGACACGTTCAACAGGCTGTTGCCCAGATCAAGTGAGATGCGGTGTTTGAAAGAGCCCGAGAGGCTGCAGAGCATGGTGGTTGTTACCATTATCATCATTTTGGTCCCAATCAATGAGGATATAACACTCTCAAACCTATATATATGTTTTTTTCTCTAAACCCAATAGGTTTGGCTTATCATTTGTTTGGGACGAAGCTAAATTTCTAGTTATAATGAGAGTAACAACAGCTAACATTTAATGTGCTCTCAATAGATCTAGGCTCTGCCTTCATGGCTTTGCAGGTACATTTGTGTTTAATACAACAAACCCAGCGAGATAGGTTATTATCTGTTTTTTGCAGAGAAGACACAGAGGTTAAGCACCTTGCCCATGGCTGCTCCCCCAGCCCCTGGAGGAGCCGGGCTCTGATCCCCAGCAGTCCGCCTGCAGAGCCCCATTCCCCAGCCACAGCGCCAGGGATTCTCAGCCTCGACGCTGCTCACATTGTGGTTATAGGGAGCTGTCCTATGCATTTTGGGACGTTTAGCAGCATCCTGGCCTCTTCCCACTAGATGTCACTTGCACTCCTGCAGTGACATTAAAAATGTCTCTGGACATTCCCAAAGGCAGGGGTGAGGAGCGATGAGCCCCGTCCGCTCGAGAAGCAGGGCCCTGCCGGGCTCCAGAGCCTCTCCCTTGCACAGAAGGAAGCATCCATGTCAGTGCTGAGCCTCACTACAGGCCAGATTATATTAATGTCTTAGGAAACCTCAGATGGATTGGACAGTGCCTGTCATTGTGCCAGGAGGGCGTGGAGACCACTGGGGGTGGATGTCTGGGCGGGGGTGGGCGGGGGTCCCATTCAGGAGCCTGACGTTGGCCATTTTGTCTGTTGAGCTACAAGGAGGAACCCGAGCCACCCTTGCCGCCTGTGCCCGCGGTGCACATGCATGCCTGCCTGCGCGCTTGGCTGCCTCGTCCCTGGCTGCAGAGAAGCCGCATGCCGGTCCCTCAGACGTGCTGTGCCATGCTAAGCTGGTGCGTTCGGCGGGCGGGGTCGCCCTGGGTATTTCCGAGCTCGCTCCCAGGAGGCGGCGGCAAGCATCGGTAGCCCCAGCTCGAGAAAGGGGACACCAGGTTTCGTGCGTCTGCGTTGGGGAATTTATAGCACAGCAGTCGCGTTATTCAAAATGTCTAGGATATTCTCAAGTTAGAGCCAGACTTAACGCGACCCGGCCTTGCAGCGTCTCCGATGCAAAAGAGAAAGGAGAGTTCAAAGTGGAAGAGGAAAGGGGGGTGTTTTGTGCTGAGCCCTCAAGTTTTGGGCCAGTTTGGGGCGTTGGGAGGGAAATCCCGGGGTGGGGAGGGCACCTTAGGGAGAGCAGGAAAGACTCCGCCAGGATCCGAATGCCTGTTCAAGTTTAGCTTTAGCCGGAGAATTCTGACCACATAAAGTCTGTTTTTAATAAAAGCCAGAGCAGGAATCCTACCAAATGCAAGCCAGAAATAGGGTTTAAGATTTCAAAAAAGGAGAGAAAAAGAAAGACTGACAAAGATGAAAGAAAAAGAAAGAAAGAAGAGAGAAAGAAAGAGAGAGAGGGAAAGAAAGGAAGAGAGAGAGCGAAAGGAGAAAGGGAGGGAGAAATAAAGCCGAGGGAAGCTCTTGCTGAATTTTCACCTTGTTCCGTTTATTTACATTCCCTTTTCCCTCCCTGATTCGCCTACATTTTCTCGATGAAAAACTTTAAAAAGCTGAAATGCTATTATCCATCATCTCCAGGAAGACAGCCCTTAGCTTTACGAGAAGGAAGTCTGATTTTTCCCCCCCAGTTCTTTGCTTTCTTAAGGGCCCTTTCTCCTCTTTTATCTGAAACCAGAAACTCGTAAAGTGACAGGCCAGCATGGCCAGCGTCCCCCGGCTCCCGGCGGGGCTCTGAGATCACAAAGGCCGAGCCCGGACCACGGGGCATATGCCTGTGCAGTTTTCTCCTGGATGACTCGCGGCTTCATTAGCAAGTTATGATCTTGACTTTTAAGAGCCTGTGCACTTTTATTTTAACCCAGTTCGAAGGTAATGAAAGCACGTGAACTGTACAGAAACCAGGAGCGTTCTGCCCTTTTTTTT